CTCTGCAATGTTCTTCAATGTATGAAAGTTTTACATTTTGATGAAATCTGATTTATTTTTTCTCGTGTTGTTTATGCTTTTAATATAATAAGATTTACTTTTATGTTTTTTTTCTAAGAATTTTATGGTTTTAGTTTTTATATTTAGGTCATTGATTCATTTTGGGTAAAGAATTTCTTATGTGGAATGAGGTATAGAAGTGCGCCTTATATCCAGTCTTTTATATTTTGGTGCTCAGCACCCTTCTTCTGCCCTTGAATGGTTTGCCTCCTATTGAATATAGCCATAGATATGAATTTCTGGACTCTCCATTCCATCCACTTGGTTTGGGTGTTTATCCTGTGACTTCATGTTGTGATTGTTGTAGCTTTGTTGCAAGTTTGAAAGTCAGGACCTGTGACTCCTCTAACTGTTGTTATTTAAAGTTGTTTTGGCTGTTTGAGACTTGCAATTATATGTGAAGTTGAGGATTGGCTTCCTTTTTTTTTTTAACAGAAGGAGCCTTTGGAAATTTGACAGAATTTATTGAATCTGTAGACTTTAGACAGAATTGACATCTTGGTATTTTAACTGTTCATAACGTCTATTCTTTAGATACTTGGAGAGAGAGTCTTGTACAGGTCTCTAGGGTTGTATGTATATAGTGTTTATGTCATGGGCAGTTGTAAAACCCTGATTTAGTTCCTTTTATGTTGTTATTGTGTCTTCCAATTCACAGATCACCCTCAGTTCCCAGCATGTCATCATTTTCAGGACACTGAGCACCCTTTTACCTCCTTACTTGAACTTATTCCTATGTATTTTATTCAAAAGTGAGGTCATAAGCTATTTCAAACATGCAAAGAAATAAAATAAACAGCAATGTGCTCACCACCCAGTTTAGTCAGTAAGGTGTAATGGAATTGCATTTCCTTCTCTGCTCACTTAAGTTTAGTGTTTGCTATTACAGAGAACAGTAGGCAGAACCTCCCAAATTTCCTAGCCTAGACAACCTTTGAATGTGCCACCTGACATGGCAAAATAATTTTTTTCAGATGTGATAAAGGGACATTTACCCTGGATCACCAAATTTCAGGCCCTTATAAGTGAAAGAGAGTCTGGGTTTCCTGTAATATTCCTCTCCAAGGGTTGGGTGAGCCGTCAGATCTCTGATTTCATGACATGGATATATGGTTATGGCTCTGGTGTTCTTGGTACAGGATAGCCATGTGACTTTTATGCAAGAAAAGAGGTTAATTAATTAATTAATTAATTAATTAAAAGAGAGATGTCTCAGTATACATCCTAGGCCCTAAAACTCATAATCCTCCTGACTCTGAAAGTAATGGGATTACAGATAAAGTGCCGCCACATCCAGTTTACTGTCCTTCTGGATCGAGCCAGTTCCCCAGACACGTGGCCACAGATTTAATCTTGAGGGTTAGTTGACAGTAAAATTCTCTAGAGGTATAGGCTGAACTGTCAGTTTTTACCTTTGATTCCCACATCTTTGTTAGCCAGGGCATTTCTAGAAGCCCAGAGAGATGTTGGGAAGATTTATTTCTTCATACTCATCAACCAGATATCGTTGAGTCACCATTACCATGGCTTAGTTAGTCTAGTTCTCCTTTAACCCTGTGGCCATGTTACTTGGTGCTCACCTATTTACTATTGGACATCTCTAGTGAAGTGTTTGAATTGTTTTTATTACTTATAGTAACCTTCTTCACAAGATTTTAAAATTTATCTAAATTATAATATTAAACAGAGTGGATAAAAATGAAAGAAAACAGATAGTTATGTTAATTCCTAGGGAAAAATAGGGCAAAAAGCACTATTAGCTGTGACTTTTGTTGTCTAACTAGTGAATTTTTAAAAATTAAATGTGACTTTTGCCAGGTATGGTGATATCAGCATGTCTGTGATTCTAGCAGTAGGGCAACAGAGATAGGAAGATGAGGAGGGGCCATCCTAAACTACATATGACTCTGTCAAAAAATAAAGGAAAAAGAAAAAAAAAACACATGTGACTACTGATATACTTGGGCTTATTTTACATTTAATCATATTTATATATATTTATTATTTTTCTTATTTTACATATCAATTCCAGTCCCTCTCCCTCTCTCCCATGCCCCCCACCCTGCCCCACCCCAGGGAGGGTGATACCTTCCAGGAGGGATCATCAAAATCTGTCAAGTCATTTGGAGCAGGGACTAGGACCTCCCTCCTGCATCTAGGCTAAGGGAGTATCCCTCCATGGGGAATGTGCTCCCAAAGTCCTTTTGTGCACCAGGAATACATCCTGGTTCCACTGTCAGAGGTCCCTTAGACTGCCCAGGCTTTCTAACTGAGACCCATTGTCAGGGAGTCTGAGTTAGTCCAATGCTGGTTTCCTAGCTATCAGTCTGGGGGTCCATGAGCTCCCCCTTGTTCAGGTCAGCTGTCTCTGTGGGTTTCTGTAGCCTGGTCTTAACCCCATTTTCTTATCACTCCTCCTCCTTTGCAACTTGATTCCAGGAGTTTCAGCTCAGTGTTTAGCTATGGGTGTCTGCTTCTGTTTCCATCAGCTGCTAGATGAGGACTCTATGAGAACACATAAGTTAGTTATCAATCTCATTATCAGGGAAGGGCATTTAAGGTAGCCTCTCCAATGTTGCTCAGACTGTTAGTTGGGGTCATCCTTGTAGGTCTCTGCATATTTTTCTAGAGTCAGGCATTATGAGCAGTTTTCCCTGCTGGTTGGTCCCACAGCCGCGCCAGCCCCAAATAACACACAGAGATGTTGTATTAGATATAATTCTGTTAGCCTGTTACTATCATTTCTTATTGGCTAGGTCTATTTTAATATTAAACCATTTCTATCAATCTAAGTATTTCCATGTGGTCTTATCTTACTGGAGAGAGGGGCCAGTGTTCTACTCTCTCCATCCTCCATGTTGAATCTCCTCCCTATTTTTTCCTCTCTTCTCCTAGTCTCTTAGTCCTGCCTATCTTACTTTCCTATTGACCAACAGTGCTTTATTCATTAACCAATAAGAGAACATATTTGCAGAATGACATCTTCCATCAGTCAGTTTTCTCTTCAAACTTATAATGGCTCCCTCTATTATGGTATCTCTCTCTCTCTCTCTCTCTCTCTCTCTCTCTTTTTTTTTTTTTTTTTTTTTTTTTTTGCTCTCGTCTATTCATCCCCTGACTCAATCTTCCTGGTGTCACATGCTCTCATCTCCTCCCCTTCTCTTTCTCCTAACTTCCTCTCCACTCACTGCCCCACTCCCACTCCCAATATGCTCAGGAGATCTTGTTCCTTTCATCTTCTGTGAGAGACCTCATATGAATCTCTTAGGTTCCTCCTTATATCCTAGTTTCTCTGGTGGTGTGAATTATAGGCTGGTGATCCTTTGCTCTATGTCTAAAATCCACACATGAGTGAGTTCATACCATGTTTCTCTTTTTGTGACTGGGTTACCTCACTCAGGATGGTTTCTTCAAGTGCCATCCACTTGCCTGTGAATTTCAAGATTCCATTGTTTTTCCCCCACTGAGTAGTATTCCTTTGTGTAAATGTGCCACATCTTCTTTATCCATTCTTCAATTGAGGGGCATCTAGGTTTCTTCCATGTTCTTGCTATTACAAATAATGCTGCTATGAACATAGTTGAACAGATGTCTTTGTTGCATAGATGTAAATCATTTGGGTATATGCCTAAGAGTGGAATTGCCAGTCCTGTGGTAGACTGATTTCCGTTTTCCTGAGGAACCGCCATACTGATCTCCAAAATGGCTGTATGAGTTTGCACTCCCACCAGCAGTGGAGGAGTGTTCCCCTTTCTCCACATCCTCTCCAGCATAAGCTGTCATTGGTGTTTCTAATTTTAGCCATTCTGAGAGGAGTAAGATGGTATCTCAAAGTTGTTTTGATTTGCATTTCCCTGATGGCTATGGTTGTTAAGCACTTTTTAAAGTGTCTTTCAGCCATTTTTCATTCCTCTTTTGAGAATTCTCTATTCAGTTCTGTGTACCACTTTTTTTAACAGGCTTATTTGGTGTTTTGGTGACTAGTTTCTTGAGTTCTTTGTATATTTTGGAGATCAGCCCTCTGTCAAATGTGGTGTTTGTGAATATCTTTTCCCAGTCTGCAGGCTGCCATTTGGTCTTGTCAACTGTGTGCTTTGCCTTACAGAAGCTTCTTAGTTTCAGGAGGTCCCATATATTAATTGTAATCTCAATGTATAATCATATTTTTATACATTTATTTTTTTTCCTTCATTGAGAAAACACAACAAACATACCAAACTTTTCAATACCTCTCTATAGCTATCAGTTTGAAGGATCACATGGCCATATTTCCAAGAGGTCTGTGTAAAACTCCTTATGTATACTTTGCAGCTCAATGGTCAGAAAAATGCTGTGACCTATGAACAGAGACTGTATGATAGTGTTCCATTCAGCATTTTGTTCAATCCATTTTAAGAATGTAGTTTATGATGCAATGTTAAAACCCATCATTGGATTCATGTTTATGAGAGGTCTGAGGAAACACTGTCCCTCAATTGGCTCTAGGGAACTAGGGAACAACTCATGACTTCTACAGGGCTCAACTCATTATAAGGACACAGTATATGGCTAGGCACAGTGGTGTACACCTTTAATCCAAATTTTGGGAGGCAGAGGTAGGAAGATGTCTTTGAGTTCAAGGCTACCCTAGTTTACATAGAAAATTCCAGATTAGCTAGAGCTGCACAGTGAGATATTGTCTCAAACCAAACTAACAACAGCAAAAAATATTTGGTGCATAACCTGTCTTTAGGAAGGGATGCCATTGCATCATGTGATAAAAGGCAGCAGCTGATCAATTTTTGAACTTCAGATACAATTCTTCCTTTGAGATACATAATTCTAGCCCTTAAATGTGTCCTTTTCTAATATATGGATGATATTGTTATTATTAACACACACAATAGAAACCAAAATTCATATATTAATCCAAATTATCTGGTTTTTTTCTGTACATTTAGATTTTCTCATACCTCAGTTTTAGAGATACGATCACGTGTGGTCAAGTCAACCGCTCCTGGATGGCAATGACACAGAGAGGCTTCTTGTGGAATGCTGTAAGTAGACATGCAGGAAGGCGTTGTTCTTCACAAACATGGGATTGGGTTTATGCAAAGCCAGATAGAGCTGCCTTAGTTCCTGCTCCTCTCCCCTCACTCTGTGACTATCAGCAGTAAGTGCTTTTTGTTTGTTTTTGGTTTGTTGCTTGGTTAGGTTTGGTCAGCCCAAACCTGGAGGAAGAGGTAAAAGTAGAGAATAACATTAAGAGATACATCTGTATTTTACAATTTAAATGGTGGGATATGTACATTGAATATTATTTTTAGATTGAAGCAAAGCCCCATTTTGTTGGATAAGTTGAACCTTATCCTTGAGTCATTATTTTTGTTATTATTCTTGTTGATGAGCACACCCTCTATGTTAAACTCCTGAGTATGAGAAAGAAAACTTTCAAGAAAAAATTTGAGCCGGGCATGATGGTGCACACCTTTAAATTCCAGCACTCAGGAGTTAGAGGCAGGTGGATTTCCGTGAGTTCTAGGACACCCAGAGCTACATAGTGAAATCCTGTCTTAACAGCCCCCCTCAACCTGAGGAGAGTAAGGAATAATTTTTTCTTTATTATTAGTTTTTATAATTATTTTATGTGTGTGGATATTTTGCCTGCATGTATGTCTATGCACTGCATACATGCCTGGAACCTGCAGGAAGAGGGCATTACATCCTTTGGGATTGGAGTCACAGATGGTTGTAAGCCACAATGTTGGTGCTGGGAACTGAATCCAGATCCTCTGGAAGAGCAGCAAGCACTCTTAACTGCTGAACTGTCTCTCCATCCTGGGGAGTGGGGAGTGGAGGGCTTGTGAGCGTATGATCTGTAATGATCACCTCATAACTCATAACTGTATAGCTCTAAAAGAGAGAAGGTGTTTCCTCACTGTGCTTGGCCAATGGCAAGTAGAACTGCAGGAACAGGTGTTCATATGGGCTCTTGGTAGCCAGGGCTTACAGGTAAACAAGAAGATCTCATTGCCTCCTTAAAATTGTACCACACTTGAAAATGGGGAAAAGCAGAAATAAGAGAAGGGAGAACCCAAGAACACTCTGTTCTGGCTTTGTTCTTCTCTGCCATGGACTCACGTGTTCGATACCTGTATCCAACAAGTCTCTGGGCAGAAGTGCTGGCTTTTTCTAATTCCTGCCAGGTTTATGCAGGTCAGTCTTAAACATTGCATGAACAATTTTCTTTTCCCCTCCAGGGGGAAAGGTATTCAGCCTTTATTTAAGCAAGAGATTTGTTTCTTTAAACCATCTGTTCTCGGAGTGTGATCCTGAAACCAAGAGGGTCAACACCACACAGCTTGGAGATACAAATTCCTAGGCTCCACCCACTCACTTGGTTTACTGAGTGGGGAATTCAGAGTAGCAGTCAGCAGTTGGCCTTTACAGTCCTCCCAGACCATCCTTGCAGGCTCAGGTTTTGGAATTATTTTCTTAAACTAAACCCAAGGCAGGCATAGCTAATTGGTTAGCTCTTTGTCAGTCTTGCACATAGGGAGAACAGAGTTGACTTTCCTCTGTAGTTGCTTGCACCTTGCCTGCTCCTCTTTGCTTCTATAAGAAAGTTTACCAGATTTTATACCTAGTGCCTGGCCACCTGGACACAGGTTAGTGTGAGTACATGGTGTCATCAATCCTCCGGTCGTTAGCTATGAGGGAGAGTGATGATGTCAGCTATGAATTTAGAAAGCAGGGAAGATGATGGCCATTGAAACTTGACTGACAGGTCCCTGTTGTTGAGATTGCAGTGTCATTCAAGAGACATAAGAAGTCACCAGGGGCTGGTAGGTGCTTCATTTTTATTGTGGCCACAAGACCCCTCAGAGTCTCTTTGGAGTGAGAAGCACAGTGATTTCCAGCTTATAAAAAGAATGCAGAAATAACACCAGGAAAATGGTAGTATAAAAACATTAGCCCAAAAGGTCCCATTAGAAAATACTGGGGTATATGCATGGATCTCTTGTGTGTATGCAGATGCACTGACAGAACCAAGCAGACTTGTTATATACCTTGCATAGCCTGGAAAGGAGTTTACTTCCCATTTTGTCACAACTGACCTTGGTTTTGGAACTAGTAACAAACAGCTGTGATTTATCCTGGCCTGTACTCTTCGTGCTGGTCTAGGCATTTATCCTGTCATCCCACTAGACAGGCATTTTCATTTTTCTCATTTTACAGGTGAGAAAAATGAGTTAAGTAATAGCCCATATTCAAACAGTAATCTGGCTGCCCACAAAGCGTGCACTTAATTACTAAGCTTGAGTGGGGAAACCTATCGCCTGCCACTTGCTCTTCCCCCAAATGGTGGCACAGGACCTCTGTTCTCCAGTTTCTTTTAAAATGGAACTCTCAGTGCTGAGAAGCAACTCTCATCAAAAGAATGCCATCAAGAAATGTTCATGAAAACAGTTTATCATTAAATTCCCAGGTAAGGAATGTTTTCCTGGACTGAGTTAGGGTGTAACATAGTTGGGCTGTGTTGGTTTAGGAGTTCTTTTGCTGCATCATGTTCTTTTGCCCCAAGTTCACCCCCACCCCCTACCCAGTGTTCTGCAGCCTGCAGTCTCTCCTTTTATTTGATCAGCCTCATTGGAAGACATTAGGTTATCTCCTTTTGCTATTAAAGTTCTGCTCTGCATGCTTTTATATATGCATGCCATTATAAATTCTTACAGGTCAGGGCAAATGTTTGATTGACTGATAATCACAGAAGTTTATGGAATTAAAGAATTCTTGCTGTTACAAATTTTCTGAGCTCTCCCAGCCTTTTGATCGATGAGATTTCACGGTTTTCTACTCTGCCTTAACTCACAAAGGGACTGGATGCTGTATGTGCATGGAGTACATGGTTCAGTGATAGAGTGCTTGCCTCAAATGTATGGGGTTTGATCCCCAACTTGAAAAAAAAATGTGTTTAAAATTTTTATCTGAATGTACTTAATTTTCATTGGCCAAATCCAATACTTTTGGAAGTATGTTTGTGAGTATAGTCTTTATTTTGTGAAATTTGCGTTTTAGAGAAGTCTAATGTTTTAGACTCTTTTTTTCTGTTTGGAAATGTCTCTGTGAAGAGCTTCTAGTATTTGATACTTTAAAATGTTTAAAAGTTTTATATGAAATAGATTTTTATTTCTTAATGCTTTTTATCTCTTTTAGATTGATTTTTCCACATCAAAAAACATTACAGGTAAATTTGTAGTGACTACTTTGCAAAAGTGGCGTCTAACTGTGCTGCGCCTGAACTTTCGAGGCTGTCTCTTCCGAACAAAAACTTTGAGAGCTGTCAGTAAGTATGCTCACACCAATGGCCAACATTGCTCTGCCGTATCCACTCAAAGTGAGAAAAGAGTTAAGGGGACTTCAGTGTTGCTAGAATGTGTGTTCCCGGAAATGGTCCTTGGTCCATTCTTCTTGCCACTTTTTTTCTTTTGTCTAGATTTTATGTATGTATCGTCATTTTGTCTGTTAACTAGAAGATATTAAAAATTTTAACAGAATCTGACTATAGGCATTAACAGCATTCCCTTTGCATTTTGAAAACTGCCAAAACGCTATATGAGCACTATAATTGTGGTGACTCTTCATCATCCAAGACTTTTGACAAAAGGGGAGAAATAAAATGATGCACAGCTACTCACAAACCAAAACACTTAAGTCTGTTCATCTGTGATGCCCTTGAATCTCTGTGGAAATCTACATTAGGAAACAACCTTGCCCGAATTTTATCAATAAAACCTTCAGTAAAATATCCTCAAAACAACAACAAAAACTAAAGCTAACCATTAATGGCACTGTATATATTAAATTATAGAAGGTGCTTTTGTTTTATGCTTTTCTGTAAATTAGTCTGTCTGGTAACATTTCATGCTTGAAGCAGTAGGGGGACACTGAAATGTTGAAGATTTCTGTAATTGAAGTGGATGTCTACTTTGAAGACCTATGTAAATAAAGCTTTTCAGCATGACACCATAGTAAAAAACAAAACAAAACAAAACAAAACAGAAAACAACAAACAAACAAAAAACAGTATTAAACAGCATTCCCTTTCATCTTCCTCAAACCATTCATTCCTTCACTTTGTCAGTTTTTCTAAAATTGCACTGATGTATATGTGATTTAATAGCATTGATGTCACACTCTTCTGGCCTCCATTGTCCCCCACTGTTAACCCTGAAGGTTTAAAAACAATGTAAGAAGATCATGCTGTTTGCATTTTCCTTTATCTTGGAAATTTTTCTATGTCACTACTTACAGATTTGCTAAATTCTTTTCGTGACTGAAATAATTTTTGTATAATAAATGTGCCCTAGTTTGCTTATGTGGTTTCTTGTTGATGGTATTGAAGTTATCTGAGCTTGCACTGTGCTGTCTTTAACCTATGTGTTCTTTGAGATTCCGTTTTTTTTTTTTTTTTTCTTATTCTTCCAGGGGAAACCATGGATATTTAAAAATATTTAACCAACTGATACCAAATAATGAGAAAAAATTCCATATATGTATTTACATCTTACTTTGGAAAAATATGTTACTTTTGGAAAAGTATAAGAGAGAAAGTCAAGTTACAGAATAACATACACACACAGTTACACTCTGAATATAACATAAACATATGAAGAATTTCAATATGAAAAATAATATACATATAACTTGATTCTTATTTTGAGACAACTGCAATGATGTATATATGTTTTTTTTAATTTATTATTTTACAGGTCGATCCCAGTCCCCTCTTCCTCCATCCCTCCCTTTTACCCTCTCTGCCCTCTCACATGCACCCTAACCACCCTCCCCTCCCATCCCCCCACCCCAATTCCATATGTAGGGGAATGCCATCCAGTTGGGGTCATGTAGATCTGACAGGTCATGTGAAGTAGGGACTAGGGCTTCTCTCCTGTCTCTAGGTTAAGGCAGTTATCCCTCTGGGGGATGTGTTTGCAAGGTTCTTTTTTGCACCTGGCTCCACTGTCTGAGGTCGATTAGACTGCTCAGTCCTTCTGGCTGAGACCCATATTCAGGGGGGTCTGAGTCAGTCCCATGCTGGCTTCCCAGCTATCAATCTGGTGGCCTGTTAGCTCCTCCTTGTTCAGGTCAGCTGTCTCTATGTGTTTCTGCCACCTCGTCTTGTCCTCTCCATCTGCTTCTGGGTTCTAGTTCGACTCAGTGTTTATGTATGGGTGTTTGATCCTGTTTCCAACAGGCATTAGTTGAGGGCTCCATGGATAAGTTAGTTGTTGATCTCACTATCCAGGAAAGACATTTATGGTAGCCTTTCCACGGAAGCTCAAATTGGTAGTTGGCGGCAGTGTTGTACCATCAGTATGGTGGTTCCTCAGGAAAATGGGAATTAGTTTACCACAGGACCCGGCAATCCCCCTCTTAGGCATATACCCAAATGATCCACATCCATTCAACAAAGACATCTGTTCAACTATATTCATAGCAGCACTATTTGCAATAGCAAGAACCTGGAAGCAACCTAGATGCCCTTCAATTGAAGAATGGTTAATGAAGATGTGGCACATCTACACAATGGAATACTACTCTGCAGGAAAAAAATAATGGTATCTTGAAATTCACAGGCAAGTGGATGGCACTTGAAGACAGGCTTGTTTTGAACTCAGTGATCCACCTGCACCTGCCTCCCAAGTCCTAGGATTAAAGGTATATATCACTATGGTCTGGCTAGACTCTGGTTCTTAAGGAGCCACTAATTTCTGGTGCACCAAGAACATTTGTGATATAAATTCTAGGCATATTATAGATTTTGTTTCTTGTCTTTTGAGACAGGGCCTCTTTGTAGCCCTTGCAGTCCTGGAACTTGCTGTAAACACCAGGCTGGCCTTAACTTCAAAAGAGAGCCAGGTTAGTTGATTCTATTGGCTTTCTTATGATGTCCTTGACTTCTTTAGCTCCTACAATCCTTCCTCCCTCTCTTCATCCAGATTTCCTGAGGTTAGCCCAACATTTGCCTGTGGGTCTCTGCATCTTTTCCCTGCGTTTGGCCCAATGTTTGCCTGTGGGTCTCTGCATCTGTTTCTATCCGTTACTGGATGGAGGCTCTCTGATAATAATTAGGGCAGTCACCAATCTGATCACAGGAGAGGGCCAGTTCAGGCTACCTTATCACTATTTCTAGGAGTCTTTGCTGGGGTCATCTATAAGGGAAACTATAGGGTTTCCCTTGTATCTGGTTTCTGCCTGACCACACAAAGCTCCCCTTTCTAGCCATCTCTTTCAGTACTCCCTCTCCACCCCCCCAACCCTATCCCTTAAGTTCTCATGCCCACTGGTCCCCAGCCCACCCAAGAGATCTCTTCTATTTCCCCTTTCAGGGAGATCCATGTAGTTCTCCCCCCACCCCTTGAGCCCTCCTTGCTATCCAGTCCTCTTTGGGTCTGTGGATCATAGCACAGTTATCCACTCATGAATGAGTATATACCATGTTGTTTATCATTCTAGATCTGGGTCTGGATTACCTCAGTCAGGATGAGGTTTTGTTTTGTTTTGTTTTGTTTTGTTTTGTTTTGTTTTGTTTTTTCTTCTAGTTCCATCCATTTACTCTTCAAATTTCTTGATGTCATTGTTTTTAACAGCTGAGTAATACTCCATTGTGTAAATATACCATATTTTCTTTATTCTTCAGTTGAGGGGTATCTAGATTGTTTCCAGGTTTTGGCTATTATGAACATTGTTGCTATGAACATAAGGGAACAAATGTCCTTGTGTTATGAGAGTGTCTGGATCTTGAGGTAGATTGATTCCCAGTTTTCTGAGAAACTGCCATAATGATTTCCAAAGTGAGAGGCCTTTTTGTAGACTTAAAGGTAGATAAAATAATTATAAACCTTACTCTCTTTGTCTCTGTTTCTGTCTCTTTATATCTGCATATAGCTCTATAATACACATATAAGAAAACATATCAAGCTGGACATTGGTGGCACATGCCTTCAATCCCAGCACTTGGGAAGCAGAGTTCTGTGAGTTCTTGGCCATCCTGGTCTTCAGAGCTAGTTCTAGGAGAGCCAAGACTGTTACACAGAGAAACCCTGTCTTAAAACACCCCCTAAAAAAGAAAGAAATATACATGGAAAATATATTGTTTACTAAACCTGTAATTTTCAAATAAAAAAAGTGAACTTGGGAAGTAATGTTTAAATATGTTTGACTTATGATTTTGATGACAGCAACAGTGAAGACTGGAGTGAGTTCTGAGGAATGTGAGGGTGTAGTTCTAGAAGCTCGAATTTTGTTTTGTTTCCTCCACCCAATGTTCTTGATTCGATTGAGTAAATTCTCTTCTACTCTGCCCTGAAGGTTTTTGTTTATCAGTGTGCTGGGTTTTTATCAAACTTATTATCTCATCACTTGTTTCCCAGCATTGATCACCTGAAGTGCTGTTTATGTATTGAACTACTTTGCATTTCCTTTTGTTACACCTCAAAGGAAATAAGAGCTAGTTTATTTTTGATCAAATAAGAATGACCATAGCTCAGGAACACAGGTTCAAGTTGCCCTGAATAATATGTTCCCTGGAGCTGGTCACCTGAACTTTTTATAATCATTGAACAAAAGAAAATCATAAATTAAGGCATTTACTAAATACATTAGTGGAGAAATCAGGTAGACTGGTTTCAACAAAGTGGTGGTGTCACTGCTATAGATTTTAATTTTTATTGTTTTTATTAGCACATGCTAATTACACACAGTAATGTGTCTTGTTATAGCATTTTATACATGCATATATTGTATTGTGATCACTTCGTGCCCAGTGATTCCTTCCCTCTTCCTAGCTAGTCTGCTTCTGTGCTTATGTCCCTCTTCTCCACAGCTACTTTTCTATGACCAGTCTTATTCACACATCATGGACTATCTTTTTAACATACTGTTGTATTTTATTTTCTAACATTTTCCTACGGGTATATTATAAAAGGATTGTTAGTCTTTTATTTTCTTTTTTGTGATATATGTTTGGTGTCCTTGTTAGGATAATACTGGCATTAAAGAATGAGTTCAGGAGTAATTCTCTCTCCCTCTCTCCTTTCCTGAAAGAGTATGAGAAGGGTTAGTGTCACTTATCCTTTTTTTTTTTTTTTTAACAGTTTTCATATTTATAATTTTATTTGGAAATGTATATCAGATATATCACTCAGAATATTCTAAATACAGCACTCAGGAGGCAGAGGCAAGTGGGTCTCTGTGAGTTCCAGGCCAGCCTGGTCTACAGAGCTAGTTCCAGGACAGGTTCCAAAGCAATACAGAGAAACCCTGTCTCGAAAACAAACAAAC